CATCCGCGAGATACGCCAGGGCGTCTTGGTCGGGCGGAGGGAGGCCTCTTGGCAGCAAGGCGTGGGCCCGTGAGAGGTATGGCGGCAGTGGTGCCGCGAAAGCCTCAGGGCCGACGAGCTGGGCACGAGCGCCCTGGTATTCCAGAAGGAGGCCAAAGTAGCGGGTGGGGTACTCGTGGCTGCCCTGGATACGAGTGAGGTTGCGGTTGGTGCGCTGTCTGTCGGGGCCCGCTCTGTGCCAGATATCCTCGCACATGTCGAACGCGGTGCGGTGGCGCAGGGCGTCGTTTTTCTCCGCGGAATCCTCCTGGAAAAAGTGGTCGTGCTGTGGCAGATGGAGCGTCGCCAGGATGTGCGGGACGCAGTCCTCGAGCCATGCCCAGTACACGTCCTGATGGTCCTCACCTGGTGCCCACGCCGCAGCGCACGGTATGAGCCGTGCTCGGATGTTCATCAGGTGCCAGAAAGCGGGGTCCTCCTCGGGTTCACCCCTGGCGCACAGAGGGGTAGTGGGACTCGTGGGGCTAAAGCGGGGCACGACAGCGGGGCTGAAGCCGCCACTGCGTGCCTGGGCCTTGCCAGCGGCCCTGTCGAGGATATGCTGCACGACGGTCGAGGACAAGCTGAGGACAGACTGCGATGCATGTGTCGTAGTTGACGAGGGCGTGCTCGTAGGAGACATGCTGGTACTCGTCGTAGACGTCGTAGTAGCCGTCGAAGTCCCAGGGGGGCAGCGCGTGGGGCGGGCCCCTGGTGCTGCTCAGGCCAGGCGCTCGCGATGGCGCCCAGCGGCCCGGTGCCGCACGGACCCGCGGCGGCGGTGCTGTTCACGATCGGGTCCAAAATGGCGCTGTGATCGTATTTGTAGATGCTGTCATCGTAAAGGTAGAAGAGCGTCCCACGCTCCGCATGTCGCAGGAAAGCCTCTCCTCCGTGCTGGGGCGCACCGCCTGAAGACGGGTGTGCTCCAGCCAGCGAGGGGGGGGCCAGGCCGCAGGCAAGGCGCCACATGATGGCGAGGCCTGGCGGGCGGCGCGAGCGATGAGCCGAAAGCTGCGTGGCAGCACACGTCCTCAAATACCCCTGAATGCTCATGTACATTGCTACAATCACGCCCCCTGCAAGACTACGGGTGTCCCTACACCAGATAGCTTGCGCGTGCTGCTGCCAAAACAGACATGAGGTGACAAGAAAGAGATACGACGCGAAGAGGGGAGAGATGCCTCTGAAGGCGCTTCCTCGGAGGGCTGAGGCGGGCTCTCTGAGGCACCTTCAATAGGGTTCCTGGGTGGCCCGACCCTTGTCCTTGCCTTTGTCGGCCCCTGGGGGCCCCGTCCCTGGGGTGACCTGGCCTGGCTGGTCGATCCAACTGCAGGCAGCCACGGGTTCGGCGGCCGCTGCGGCTTCCTCCTTCTTAGTTTCCAGAGTGGCCGCTTGTGGCAGGTGGATGGTGCCTCCCGTGAGGTGCCCGAGGAGGGTCTGGATGTCGCCGCGCAGTGCAGCGGCGTCGGCGGTTGCCGTCTGTTGCTGGGTGACGACGGTGGCAAGCCCCCGTTCCAGCCCTGAAACGTGCTCCGTGAGTGTGGCCTGGGAGGAGAGAACGCCCGCAAGCTGCACCTGCATGTTATCCACCGTGTTGGCTAGCAGCTCGTGCTGCTGTTCCATGTGCTGGATGCGGGTCGTGGCAGCATCGGGCGGTTTAGAGGCCGATGCGAAGCGCTCGCCGAAGGTGTTGAGTTCGTGGGAGGCCACGCTGTATTCATCACCTGATGAGAGGATCTCGACGTCGACGACGTCACCTGGTACTTCGGCGGCTGTGGCAGCGTCGCCTTCGGTGTGGCCCCCACCTTCTGCCGCCGCCGTGCCAAGCCGGGGGTCGTGGCCACCTGGTCCTGGGGCGGCCGTCGGTTCAGCGGCTCCGTCCGTGCCGTGCGGGGGTGCAGAGGAGCTGCGGCCTGGGGCGCAGGGTGGCCTTGCGTGCGGCGTGGCGTCACGTTTCCCGCTGGAGGAGCGGTGGCGCTTGGCTGAAGGCTCCTCCTTGGGGGTCAGGAGCGGTGCGACGCCCTTGCCTTTGGGCGTGGCAGTCATGAGGTCGTGGAGGTAGGGGCTCTGGGCCGCTTTGGTGAGGAGTGTGCCGGTGGCGGGGCTAAAGCCGCCACCACCGGCTGGCGGCGTCACAGGCTCTGTGATGGTGGTAGGCGTGACGATGGTAACATTGTCCCGCTTCGGCGCCACCTCAGCCAGCGGGGCCTCGGTGATGCTCCACGGGATGGGGCACCCCGCGACCTGCACCGTATAGGTGAGTGGGGGCCGATGAGCGCGCACTAAGGCAAACTGGGCCGCAGTGGCTGGGTCCCAGGCGGCGTGGTAGACCTCGCAGTCCCATTTAACGGACGGGCCCGTGAGAGTCTTGGCGAGCTGGGTCAGCGTGGCGTGGCGTGCCGCAATGCCAGTGATGCGGTAGCGCGTCTTGGCGAGGGTAGCCTCGCAGCCGCGGATGCTGACAGCAGCGGCCTTGGCGACGTCGGACCCCCGCGGAACACGGATCCCCAGTAGGCCTGACTTGCCGTGCCTGACGACTCCCAGGGCCTTGAACTCCACCGACTTCTGGAACGCGTCTGCCATCGTGATGGGCTGGTCCTCAGGGAACCAAGCGGTCTGATACTTGTCGGCGGTGGGCTCGTCTGCACCTACGTTGCTGAGGTCGTAGGTGGCGCCGAGTTGCCCTGATCCCGCCAGGACCTTGTCGACCGCTTGGAGACTGACGCCGAAGGTGGCAGCCAGGGACCTCTTTCCGACGCCCGATCCAAACCTGCCTAGGCTTTTGCAGGGTTCGAGGATGGTGACGGCTTTAAAGTTGCCGTGGAAGAGGGCCTTGAAGGTGTCCTGGAGCTGACTATCGAGCTCCTGGCGGCGAGCGTCTTTCTTGGACTCCTTGTGCTTTTGGCGCGCCTTGTCCTGTGGAGCGGAGTCGCCTCGAAAAGGGCCCTTGGCGCGTGGACCACCGTTCACGGGGGCACCTCCCGAGAACTGGTCCTCGAAGGCCTGGTGCATGGAGGGGACTGCGGCAATGGCCTCGGTCTCGTGTATGGTCGCCCGAATCCAGCAGACGTGGTCGGCAGGGTCAATGGTGGCGACGGCTACCTTTTCCGTGCAGGCGACCTCCTTGGTGCCCAGCTGGTACACGGTCACGGGGACGTGCGTGTGGACCACTTTGGGCGCCTTGGGGTGACGCTTCAGGACGGGGGCGGCGAGCTCGGTACCGACGTAGTTGTCGTTTTTTCGGGCCCATGACAGCAATCGCGAGCTGACCCGTGGCTCGCTTGCCCTGCTCGAGGTGGTGTTGCAGCAGCCGTTCACCACTCTCGTAGTCGTGGAGGCTGATGCTGGGCTTGTACGTCTTGCCGTCGTCAGGCGAGGTGGGTTCGGCAAGGACAGGGACCTTCCAAAAGGCAGGGTCCATGAATTGGGTGTCCGCAGCCTGAAGACGCGCGGAACCCGCTGGTGGGTGCGATGTGTCACCGCCAGTGCGCTTAGGCTTGCTGCGCTGGTGATGATCGAGCGTGTAGCTAATCTGGTTGGCGGCGCACATGCGGATAAGGGCGCTGCCAAGCTTCTTCGTGTTGGACTTGTGCATGTCGTACATTGCCTGGAGCTCGTCCGCGTTCAGTTCGGCTAGCCCGTTGTAGGCGGCCGTGGGGCGGTCAGACCCCGCTTGCTTGAACGCTGCGATGCAGTCCTGCTTGCGTTGAAGGAGGGACCCTTCAGCAGCAGGGCGCGTGGGGCGGGAGCTCGGAGGCTGCTTAGAAGAGCGACGGCGCTCCGGCTTCTTGGGGGCCATTGCTGCGGGCACTCTGGTGTGGAGAGGTGACGCGAATCAGTAAGGTCCTGCTGGGACCCCTCCGGTCTCGCGAGGCCTGGGAGTCTGACTCCGAGGCGGGGCGCTTCGCGTCGCGGCTGCGGTCTGAGTGCAGGGCACTCTCGAGCCGAGACTAGAGAGAGAGAGAGAGAGAGAGAGAGAGATAGAGAGAGAGAAAGAGAGAGAGAGAGAGAGAGAGAGAGAGAGAGAGAGAGAGAGAGAAAAAAAAGAGAGAGAGAGAGAGAGAGAGAGAGCGCCCCAGCAGTGCTCCAAGAGGCCTCCAAGAGCGGCCCCTCAGATGTCTCCAGGCTGGCCACTGCTCGGGGGCTGCTTGGGCCGACCCCAACTCAAGCACACCCCACTGCGCGCTCGCCCGTGCACCTCCGCTGCCCTCCTTCCGACGCGTCGCGCAAGACCCGCCCCTCGACGGGCCGAAGGAGCGCACGCGACCCGCCGTGAGCTGACCTTTCCAGCCGATCCTGCAACGCGGGCCGACCGGCGAGCCCAGATGCACTCAGGCAGCCCCGTGGCTTCCTGGGGCGGAGGATGATGAGATGGGAACGAAAAGTGACACAACCATAAAAACTCGGAGGTCCGCGCGGATTTCTCGGATCGGCGCTGGGGCCCCCTGGCGGCGCCTCCGGCGCCGCCCCTGGCGCGCTCCGCGCGCCAGGGAGGGGGGTCCAGCGCCGATACGAGAAATCCGCGCGGACCTCAGAGTTTTTGTGTTTACGTCATCGCTCGCTCCCCTAGATGAGGAAGAGGAGGCTCGCTGGAGAATCGCGCCAACCAGGGGACGCGCCCCCCCCGAAGCTCTCACAGGCCGCGCCCTGCAACCCAAGCCGTCCCTGGGGCGACGGAACTCGGCGGAACTCTGGCCTCCCACGCACGAGCGGATTACGGTACCGCAGCTGACGAGAGGAGCGATATGGGAGCTGATGGCATGTGCCCCAACTCTCGAAGATGGAGGGGGGAGGGAGGAGGAGGAGGAGGAGGAGGAGGAGGAGGAGGAGGAGGAGGAGGAGGAGGAGGAGGAGGAGGAGGAGGAGGAGGGGGAGAAAGAAAGAGACGAGGACGGTGGAAGCGGGGCCGGAAGAAAAACGACCCCCAAACGACCCCCCGTTACTGCGCTGGAGGTGTCCTCAGGGCCGTCCACGCGCAGCAGGCACTGCCCAGCGTAGCCCAGGCCGCACGTGTAGATTGCGGTGTCCTCCTGGCCGCTGCCGCGGTGCTTCCCCCCCTCGTCCTCCTGCTCCTTCTGCTTAGGACTAAAGCTAAACAGTGATTTTCGTAGTCGTATTGTTTTCGTTTTCCTTCGCTCTGTCCTCGTTCTGCCTGTGCTGCGAAGCGAAAGCAAAGCGAACACGGTCCACGAGATCGCCAAAGCACCGTTTAGCTTGAGCCCTGGTCTGACCCTCCCCCTCTCCTACCCTCTTCCACCCCGACCACCTCGGCGGGAGGTGCCAGAGAAACATCTCTCGCATGCCTGGACATTCGGAGGAACGGGATAACGATACCGTCCATGTAGCAGTGCAGAGGAATGTGATCTCTCGCATGCCTGGACATTCGGAGGAACGGGATAACGATACCGTCCATGTATCAGTGCATAGGAATGTGTAGCGAACTCAACTACACAATTTGATAGGTGGGTGGCCGTATGCAAGCCGTTCTCCATGAGTAGTGCTTGATCCCATACGAACTGCTTATCTCACACGCTCGCCACTTCCCAACACCTTACTCTAGCGTCTGAGGTATGCTGTACTATTTCAAAAGACACCCTCACGGACCCAATGAGCAGTTTGAAATCGCACGGTTGATTGTCCGCTAGTTGCCTCCACACACATGCAGGGAAGACGTGATGGGTGTGGGTGTGGGTATGGCAGGGTGAGCGTGGAGTGGGCAACACGACATCACTGTGACGAAATGCCTCATCTTGACTTCGACCTTGGTCTCTGTCGCCACCTTCTGCCATGACAAAACAAACGCCCACGTCCTTCTTCCCAGACGCGTATACCGGGTACCAAGATTCGTCTGTAATCCGCAAGCTCGATGAGAGAGCGTTGTGCGCAGTGCAGATTTAAACACGTCTAACTACAACGACTCCACTTCTGGTGTCCTCCCTGTCTTCGCGTTCCCCACGTACTCACACGGTCCTGTTCTGTCATCGCTCCGCCTTCCCATCATATCCTCGACCAACTTGCCTAACACACTTCTCCGCTGCCGTCTTCTACTCTACGCCTACGAGTGCTTGATTCGAGCGGATTTGTGGCTTTGCCTGTTCTGGCAACAGATTCGGTTTTCTGGCCCAATCCGGCCTGACGGTCTAGTACCCTATCCCACCGTGGTGGACTGGGCAATGGTCCGCGGCCGCTGCCGCGGGGGGAGGGCAAGCCCTGCCTCGAGCTTGTGAGCATACGCTTCTCGTAGGGCGGACTGGTCTACGGGCGCCGAAGCACGTTTTTTTTCCCTCCAACCCTCCTTGGTTGGGTATTCGTTTTGAATAGAGCACTGCGGTCTCCAATTCTCTTCCTCTTCTCCTCCCGCCTCCTCCTCCTCCCGCCTCCCGTCTCCCGCTTCCGTCGTGTCTCCTCTTGCCTTGCGCGAACCTCTTCCGTCTTGTCTCCTCTTGCCTTGCGCGAACCTGGCCATCCCTAGGGGGGCTGCGATCTGTGACGCTGTCGCCACTTTCGAGGGCTGCTGGTGGGCCCTGCGGAGTGAGGCACCGCGGGGATCTGAGCGGGACCTCGCCGTTTTTTGGGGGCTGCGATCTGCGACACTCTCGCCACTTTCGAGGGATGCTGGTGGGTCCTGCAGAGTGAGGCACCGCGGGGATCTGAGCGGGACCTCGCCGTCCCTGGGGGGCTGCGATCTGCGACAATGTCGCAACTTTCGAGGGCTGCTGGTGGGTCCTGCGGAGTGAGGCACCGCGGGGATCTGAGCGGGACCTCGCCGTCCCTGGGGGGCTGCGATCTGCGACACTATCGCCAGTTTCGAAAGCTGCTGGTGGGTCCTGCAGAGTGAGGCACCGCGGGGATCTGAGCGGGACCTCGCCGTCCCTGGGGGGCTGCGATCTGCGACATTGACACCAGTTTCGAGGGCTGCTGGTGGGTCCTGCGGAGTGAGGCACCGCGGGGATCTGAGCGGGACCTCGCCGTCCCTGGGGGGCTGCGATCTGCGACGCTGTCGACACCCTCGGGGGGGCTGCTGGTGGGTCCTGCGGAGTGAGGCACCGCGGGGATTTGAGCAGGATTTCGCCGTCCCTGGGGGGCTGCGACTTGCGACACCGTCGCCACTCCCGAGGGCTGCTGGTGGGTCCTGCGGAGTGAGGCACCGCGGGGATCTGAGCGGGACCTCGCCGTCCCTGGGGGGCTACGATCTGTGACACTATCGCCACTTCCGGGGGTTGCTGGCGGGTCCTGCGGAGTGAGGCACCGCGGGGATCTGAGCGGGACCTCGCCGTCCCTGGGGGGCTGCGACTTGCGACACTGTCGCCACTTTCGAGGGCTGCTGGTGGGTCCTGCGGAGTGAGGCGCCGCGGGGATCTGAGCGGGACCTCGCCGTCCCTGGGGGGCTGCGATCTGCGACACTGTCGCCACTTTCGAGGGCTGCTGGTTGGCCCTGCGGAGTGAGGCACCGCGGGGATCTGAGCGGGACCTCGCCGTTTCTGGGGGGCTGCGATCAGCGACACTGTCGCCACTTTCGAGGGCTGCTGGTGGGTCCTGCGGAGTCATGCACCGCGGGGATCTGAGCGGGACCTCGCCGTCTCTGGGGGGGGCTCTGGAGAGCTGCTGTGGGATACGTTAGGCGCAACGGGCGCATGGCACAACCAACGGGGGTGATTTGTGAAACAGACCATATGCCGGGCGATGGCCATAACGTTGCGCCTACACGTATCCCGCGGGGGCTCTCCAGAGCTGCTGCGGGATGCGTATGGTGCAACGGGCGCATGGCACAACCAACGGGGGTGATTTGTTATTACGTCGCCCTTAGATCTTGATCGGGGGCCTGCGAGCCTTCCGATTGCTGCTCGCACAATCACGTGCGTCCATGTTACGTCATCGCCCGCGTTGTGGCAGTCCTGATGTACTTATGCCCCGCATTGCGCAAGGGTTGGGTACGTCGCCAGGTTTTTGTTATTTGTTTTTTTCTGTTTCTCCCTCTCTCTCTCTCTCTCTCCCTCTCTGACAGGTGAGCTCATCGCCTTTCCCGAGCCAGCCCCGCGTCAAGCTGGCTGGGCTCCGGGGGAAGCCGTCGGCGTGGCGCGCAGACCTCGGCGCCCGCCTCGGGGTATCCCCTACTGGTGCGCGGTGCGGCGTCGGCCACGCGCATAACTATCGTGGCGCCGTCAAAGAATCCCCGTTCGGGGTCAATCCAGCACCCAGCATGGCGGCGCAGCTTACTGCTGACAACCCTGGGAGCACCTTTTGCTGTCACCCCTGGGGGGGGGGCACCAGCGGGCACACCGAGTCTCTCCCAAATGTGGCTTCGAGGCGTTTGCACGGACAACTGTCTGAGTGCAGTGGCAATGTGTCAGCATTCGGGGGGCACGCAGACCCCGTGCGTCTTGCCCCACGGCCAGGCACCGACCATGGGAAACCTGTTGGTCAGACCTCCATTGGCGGGACAGAAAACGAAGACCATGACCAAGACTGCACGCGGAAACGTTGGTGTCGATCTTGGTCACGGCCCCGTCCGTCCTGGTGATCGACAATCAATGGAACATGCTCGCAATCCGCTGACGGCTTTGGACGCCCGAAATGGGTACGGAACAAATGGGTAAACTGCCCAACAACAAATGTTGTTCCAAACCAACAGCGGCCGATGGTTGGCAGGCGGCCTTCTGTCTCAAACGGACACAGGCCGCGGCGGCGCGGACGGCGAGTCCCGTTCAAAATGAGCAGGAACTGCTGTTTGGCATTCTACCCATTCCTTCCGTACCCATTTCATTATTGCCGAACGGCTGGCATGGACCATAACCAAGGTCGGCATCGACAAGATCCCGCGACACCTTGGTCGTGGTCAGCGCGCTTCTTCCCTCGATGGGGCTGCACCCGGACGCTCCTGCACGGAACCGCTGCCGTCGGCATCGCTCTCTGGGCCCGCCAAGCAACACCATCCTTCATGGCAGGAGGTAGACAAACGCGTTCCGCTACTCGCAAAATAACTACCCGCAAATGACCTGGGTCCGCCTTGGAGGATTGTCGGAGGAGGGGCAATCGTCGGATGGATACAAGTCGGATCGGATCGGAGCATGCATCGAGTCGGGTCGCATCGGAACATCGTTTTGAACCGACCCCTATCCTCACTGGCATGGCCTTGGCCCCACTGGCCGACTCACCCCCTAGGCGGGGATACGTGCTGGATGTTTCATGCTTCGCGGGGCAAATCTCTACCTGGGTGGGTGACCTGGCGGGGCTGAGATACTACGGCCAACTGGGGATGGGGATCGGTTGGGCGCCGAACATCGGCGCGGAATCGAATCGAATCGAGCCGGCCGCGCAACGATGCACAACAATGCCATGCCAGCATCAAGCAACATCAGATCTCGGGGGCGCCCAGGATGGGGGTGGCAACTCATGGCCGGAGGCATGTGCGCGGCCCACAGGGCGCCATGGGACCGTACTTAAAAAAAAGAGGGGCCATGACATCTGGGGAGAGATCATGGACCCGGCCATGATATCTAGACCCCCCCCCCTAATCACCACACTTCTCTCGGACGGCACCGAAGATCGTCGAGATCCGCCACCGCACTTGCAGCAGTGGGTGTGCGTCGGGTCCTGTCGCCTTTTGCGACGTAATGACTATAGGGCCCCCCGACGCATTGAGCCCCAAATGCGTTTTTGTGGCGACGTCCCTGCGTTTTGGCCCTCCAGGCAGAAAATGGTCCCAAATCCGCCGCCGTGCATCTGGCACGAAGTGGAGTGCCCCAAGGTTCACGCAGCACGGAGGGGTAGAGGCTGTGCTGCTGCTGCAGCCAGAATTGGAAGTCTTCCAGGGCCCGCACCAGCCGTTTCCAAGGCCGTCCCGGGATTTCCCGGGCTGCTTCCCGTGAGTTCTGGGGTGTTCCCTGGAAGTCCTCTGGACGCTGTACCCGCCCACAACGGTTTAAGAGAGCCCCGACTCGCCGAAACATAGCTCGAAGACGTTGTCAACAACACGAGACGGCCCCTGAACACCTCCAAGACGGCCCCGGAGGCCTCCAACAGCACCCCTTCGAGGGCCCCAAGAGGCCACAATCATGGATTTCCCTTTCGTTTTTGAAAGATTGTGGCGTTCTCGCCTTGTCGGCTTCCCGACGCTCCCAGACAGCCCTGGAGGCCCCAAGACCGCCCCAAGAGGCCTCCAAGAGGGCCCCACAACACAAAAGGCCCCGAAGACGGCCCAAGAAGTACCTGAAACGGCCCAAGAGGGCCACAAGACGGCGCCGAAAGGGGCCCAAGAGAGGGAACACGAACCGAAAATCCGAGCCTTCCGCCCCCAGAGGCGCCCGGGCGGCCCCAAAAGGCGCCCAGGAGGGCCCACGAGGCCCCCGTGGGCAAACGAAGCCCAAAGATGCCCCGAAACGGCCCCCAGGAGGCGTCCAAATTGCCTCCAAGAGTCCCCCGACAGGAATCCCACGAGATCCCAACGAACATCCAATAGGCTTCATACCCACATCCCAGGCACGATGGCTGGATGGGCCGAAGGCCATGAGATCCGCGATCGGGGGACCCCAGCGGGCCCGCACCACAAATGACTCTGGCGAGGGGTAAGTCTTACGTGCAGTCGAGAACGTTGGCTGGCGTTTGACCCAGCCTCCCCGGTCAGGACCCAGGTGCAGATGGATTATGTTTTGATGTTTAGTTGATTCGATTGTACTCGAGCGGCTACGTTGCGCTCCATATAGTGCACCACGTAGCGTACACCACACAGATCGCAGCATATGGTCTGCACCACACACATTGCACCACATGGGTTGCACTCTGCAGCCTATTGAGTGCACATCGAGAAAGCAATAACCAACTGTTTGGGGTCTACGCTGGCAAGCATTCCTCCACTCTCGCCTCTATCTGCAATTTCCCCCTTTACATTTGATATCCAATCTCCGCCCTTTACTGTCCAATATCTATTCTCTGCTTTCTACTCTCTCCTCTCGCCGTTCCACTACTCGCTTTCCATTATATGCTCTCTGCTCTTTGCTTTCTACACTCTGCGCTCTGCTCTGTGCTCTCTAAGTCCACGCTCTGTCCCTATACACTACTCTCAACAACTATCCGAACTCTCTGCTCTCTCTCTCTCTCTCTCTACCCTTTGCGCTCTATGAACTATCTGCTGTCTCTCCTCTTCCTACTCTCTGTCTACTCACCATCGCCTTCTACTCTGCCTCCCCTGGCTACTTTCTCGAATCTCTCTTGAGAAACCCCCCAACCAATCGCCCACTGGAATCGGCAAGAAACTCTCACTGAGGACAGTAACCGAGAACCGTGTAACCTGGCCACCCACCGAAACCCGGCGCTCTTTCGCCATACAGCCTCACCAACGCTGAGGACCAAAGACCCAGAACCGGGAACTCGGGGGCGTCCAAGAGGGGGGGGTCGCAACTCATGGCCCGAGGCATGTGCGCGGACGAAGGCGGGACCCAGAATCGCAGTGGAAGAAGAGGAAGGAGGGGTCAGGAAACCTGGGGAGATCTCACGGCCGCGGCCACGATATTCCCCCCCTTATCATCGCCCCCTCGTGGCCGCTCCCGAAGATACTGGCCGCCCACCGACACTGGGCCAGCAATGGGAGGCCTGGAAATGGGCACCAACACTAACACAAGGGGTTGCCTCCACAGGGGGGAGATGATCCTAGATTTCGGTGTTTGTGGTAATATTTCGGCCACCTTGAAGCCAGAATATTACCACCATCACCGAGATCGGGATCTTTCTCCCCTCGGTGGAGGAACACCGCCGATATTGGTGTTGGTGTCAATCTCTAGCCCTGCGAAACAATTCCGCCAGAAGCTTCGGCGAGGGCTCCCGTCGGTGCTGGCACCCGTTGGGGGGGAGTCAGCGAGACGCAGGACCTTCGCAGGCTGGGCGCGAAAGGAGCGCGGAGACTACAGCCGCTACCCTGCAAGTCACGAGCCACTGTTAGAGGCTTGGAAATGGGCACCAACACTAACACAGGCGGTTGAAGATGATCCTCGATTTCGGTGTTGGTGGTAATAGTTCGGTCACCTTGGAAGCCAGAATATTACCACCATCACCGAGATCGGGATCTTCTTCCCTCGGTGGTGGCACACCGCCGATCTTGGTGTTGGTGCCAACCTCTGGGCCTGCGACACTGGTAGATTCTTGGCTCAACCCTCGGAATTGGGACTGCAATTGATACAACCAGACCTAGACCAGAAGAACATCCTTCAAGAACGTGAGACCCTCCGCCGGCCAGAGCACCCCAGACCCAAAGATCATGCGAAGGTGCCCTCCCCCAGGATGCGCAAGAACGTCCAAGAAGCACGAAGAACACGAGGGTACCCTCCCCGAACCGACCTCGATCTTATACCTCGGTCCGACCGAATTTGCTTTTCGGGTCAAAACTATGGTCTCCGGCGGCCGTTCGGGACGATCCTGGCACCCTCGGAACGCTCGCGGCGAGGCGCAGCCGCTGGAACGCATCCTGAGGCCGGAAAACCACCGGGAAACGACGAAAACGTCCAAAACCTCGAACCTCGATTCCTGCAAGTGAACCGACGACAACGTCCGAAAACCTCGAACCTCGAACCCGAAAGCTTCACGAGCCCCTGGCAGGCCCTTGGCTCCGCCCTCCGAGACGGGAAGGAACCTGAGATGTGGCGCTGCCTGCGGAGCCCGTGAGGGGCCCCACGCCGTGAGAGGCAACCCTCCCAACGAAGGGCGTCTCCGCATCATGCCTCTTGAGATTGGACGTGGGCTGACGTCTGGCCTCAATGAAGGGGCCCTGAGACACACAAATAAACACACACAAATAAAAGGATCCCCCATATTTTCTAATATTTTCTGGTTTTTTTTGTCTTCCCCCCCACTTCCCATATTTTCCCATACTTTCTGGGAATCGACGAATAATTGTGTCTGTGTGTTTTTTCCCCTCCTGACTCAAGTCGAGCACGCCCCTCTACAGGAGGAGTGTTCAAAACTAGTCAAAAATAGTCAGGGGACGATTCCGACTGTTCTTGACCACTTTTGAATGCTGATTGACTAGTTCAAATTTCTTCCAATGCCCACCTGTAGGGGGACATGCCGACCTAAGTCTAGCCTCAGCTCTCTTCGAATAGGAAAAAACGCGATAAACATACACCTTTTGCGCTCCGCGCGGATTTCTTTGCTCTGCGCTGGACCCTCCTCCCTGGCGCGCGGAGCGCGCCAGGGGTGGCGCCAGAGGCGGCGCCGCGGGGGCCCAGCGCGGATCCAAGCTATCCGCGCGGAGCGTCAAAGTTCTGCTTATGGCGTTATTCTTCTTCGACTAGAAGAACGCCGAATCAACGACAGCAGGGTCCGAAGAGGACCGAAGACACGGGACGAGGGACGGGGCACAGACCCGTGCATCATGCCAGGCAAGAGGGATAGAAAACAGGGACTACAGCGGCTTCCGAGATCTGCTCTGCTCCTCTTCACCCAACTCAGCGGGAGCGCATGGGCCTGATCTTTCCACCCACCCAGGAACAGGCCTCCTCGAATCT